CGGGTTTTCCGGGCATGCGAAGAGATGTTTCGAGTCATGTGGGGTCTCTCCGCATGCCGGACACTCATTCGGCACATCCTCATTCAACCTACTCAGAGTAGGAGTTAACCTGCTGCAGTAGCCGGAGCGAAGTTGTGCGAGGTGTGCGATGTCTCCCGAGGCAGATGAAGCTCCGTCTCGTCTATGTCCGGGGGTGGTATGCCTAGAACGGCATTCACAGGTCTAGAGTCTACATAACTCGAGACTGAGTCCCTGTGAATGCCGTTCAGGGCCTGTCTGTACGCTGTCGGGTCCAGAGGTTGCTTAATGAACCTCTGGACTTCGTTCATATAGATGCCTCCTGACGTGCCTAGGCGAGGGCTCCTCTGCAAGCAGCTGTCTGCTTGGGTGGCCACTTCTGTGGATCCCGATCAGGAACTGCTTGCAGAGCATTATATTATGCTCCTTAACTGGGAGCATTTGCGCCTTGCCGTGCAAGTGGTGTTCAGGCGACATCAAGAGGCATCCCGTCGCTGTCCTAAGTGCCGTATTTTGTACCGTCTGTAGCTTCGTCCACTGCGTCCTACTAGTCCCTGGCGACCACACTGGCGCTGCGTAGTTCAAAACCGGCCGGCCTATTGCCTTGTATACAACCCTAACGGCCTTGTCCCTGTGGACAAATCCCACAGAAGCTGCACACTTCCTAGGGTTGCACACTTCTGGGCGGGGTTGTTGTAGCCGCTACAACAACAACAACAACAACAACAACAACCACAACATTATATCCCTTACCAAATAGAATTCTCCTTTGGGTGTGCACCAACTGGGGCTACCGCCCCAGTGATGTAGCCTTGGGAAAGGATGATGTAACTATAATTCCCTCTCTGTGTGGTAAACCTGGGGTTTTGCGTATTTCCTTTTGTCTTTATCCTTCGTGTATATTGTTTGTGTTTGACAGCTCAGCTCCGCTATATAATTTGCACATACAATCACAGGCGCACGGGTGATTTTCGTAGCAATTTTAATTAATAAATTGGGACGAATAAGTTTGAACTAAATGAATAAAACAACTAACAACTAATAGTGTAATGTGTAAAGTAAATATAAACATAAAAATTAAGATATTAAGTGGCTGCTTTAAGGCAGAATAAGAGTAATCAGTGTACGTATATTTCGCAAATTTGCAACAAATACCATATTTCCAACCGACATTATTGTTAAATTAGTGCACAGATTTAGTAAATTAAATTTTGTAATAAAGCTTGAACTGTTGTCTACGAGTGTGTGTAAAAGGTTTTTGATTCGATTCACGCGTTTGGGCACAGTAACCCAAAATCGTTGTACAAATTGATAAAGAGAACCCAATTGAAATACTATTTTTAGCATATCCAATCAGCTGATGAATTTGATTCTGAAGCTGAATAGTCTAAGATCTCGACACTCCTGTTTCCACTACTCGGCACTAAAGAATTAAAAAAAAAGTCCCGTACGTCATGCGGACTGCGCCCCTCGTGTCGGTTGGGCGGGAATGGAGAGTAAAAAGCGGTTGGGATTAATTAATTTCCAATGGTTCCCCAGGGGCATGTTGAAGGTTTTCAAGGGATCGGGAGGTGACTTTACAAGGTTTGATTTGTGTTTTTTTCTAGTGGGTTGGATATCAAGTGCCACGCCGCCTCCCCTACGCCCTCTAACACAAAAACAGTGCGCAAATAACTAAACATTCTCCTTATATCATAAAAGCAGAAATTTGACGTCCCCATTCTTATGCAAACCTTAATCTTTTTTATCACTATTTATGCACAGCTGTATGTTAGTGTGTAACTTACTGTCACGCGAACACTCAATCTCTGCCAATTGCCGCTGCAGCTCAGCAACAACCATTTTCTTGTACTCATAACCTGCACAGGTCAAAGCCTTCATCCAGGTCTCCATACACTCCTGAGAATCTGCGCTTAAAATATAAGTACGATTGCCATTGAAAGCTATTTCAAAACAATATTGGTCACTTTCTTCCGATAACTCTGTAATTAATCAAACAATTTAGTTAATCTCACTCATCACTCATTGCGCATACTTACCTATGGTACAACCCTCTACAATTATTAGGCCTAATGGTTCTTTATCGCCTTTCTTTTCAAAATAAAAAAGTAAGTTTCCTTTAAGCACAAAATATCTTCGTTGAAAAGCCTTGTTCACCTCTCCCCTTTTATTTAAAAATCCTTCGCAATCAAACGGAGGACTGGTAGCGAAAACACACAAGTTCTTTTCGTTGATCTTCATTATTCTACATCTACAATAGCCCTGTTCGCGTACACACTATCCAGTAAATCCAGTACTAATTTTACTGGTTTTTTACCGGATGTCGTTTTCGTATGCAAAAACTTGCAAAAAACTAGCAAAAGAGGGGAAATTGAGAGAGCAAAAATGACAGCTAAACTTGCAAGTTTTACTGGATTTTTACTGGATAAATTTTTACTTGCAACTATTTGCTAGTAAGAAAAACAGCTGATGGCGTGAAGCCATGAACATAATAGGGCATTCGCACGTGCCGATTTTGCAGGCAACTTTTAGTTGAAAGCAAAAATCGCATCGTCCGAACGGCCTTTCAACTAATCGCTTTCAACAAAGTTGGTCNGTTAGGTTAGGTTATACTGGCCGGCTGTTGCGCCTTACATAGACCCGTTGGTCCTTTGTAGTGCCNGTGAAGCCATGAACATAATAGGGCATTCGCACGTGCCGATTTTGCAGGCAACTTTTAGTTGAAAGCAAAAATCGCATCGTCCGAACGGCCTTTCAACTAATCGCTTTCAACAAAGTTGGTCGCCAGCTAACTTTGAGCTCGTTCAACTTTTTTTCCTTGCAACCCTGTGTTTGTTTACATTCTGTATCAGTGTTGGAAAATAAAATTGTTCCTTCAGTACGAAATCCATACAAAAAATGTACTTTTCGGCTATAAATTGTACATACTTTTTAATTCGCTCATATATTTTCTTAGTATATTCCCTTCAAGACCAATGATTTTATGGTATTCATGAGAAAGTTTTATTGTTTATGTACATACGTTTATGTATTTTACACTTTTACAAATTGATTCCACGCGCACATGTACTGCATTTAACGCAAATATGTAGGCACCCTGAAATTGTGCATATGGAAACTGTGCATACGAAATAATGCATATGAAAAAAACTGAAATAATGCATACGAAAAAAACCGAAATAATGCATATATGCACAGTTTCGGTTGAAAACCGAAATAATGCATATGAAAAAAACCGAAATAATGCATATATGCACAGTTTCGGTTGAAAACCGNTTCCTAGCTAAGGCCGGACAGAAACAGAGGAGGTGTTCTAACGTCTCGCTCATGCCTTCCTCCCTGCACTTCCTGCATGCGTCACTGTTACTAATGCCCATTCTGCTTGCGTGGGATGCCAGTAGGTTGTGGCCCGTCATTAGGCCGACAACTGTCCTG